AGCAGTGACTCAGATGACCTGTCAAAATCATTTGTCAGGTACTGACACAGACAATCCCAGCTTAGCCTCTGGAAATCTAGCATGATAGCGTTAGGCAGTGGCTTCACTATGACAGGCAAAACCTGTGACAGGAAAGAAAAACAGTCATGAAAAGTAAGAATCAGCAAAGAGGTATGGAGAAGAGGACAAGATGGGAAGAACAGGGGGACTAAGGTGCTCTGGTGGAAGCAAGCGCAGCATTGAAAGGGAGTAGTGGCATGAAAAGCACTGGCTTACAGGAGATGCAAGTGGTTCTTCAGAAGCTCACCCATTTATGCAGTGCCTGCTTTCAGAAGATCACAGAGAAGAAAGCTGTTGCGCATTACATGCTCCAGTACAGGCTGTTCCTGAGTGCTGACACACTTGCTAATAAATACTTTGTACCAAATTTATTCCCTAAAACAGTCAAACCCGGACTCCCTCTCTGATAAAAGAACAAACAACTCCACGTCTGTTTTTTCATCTTAACAAATCCCATTCCCTGACAGCAAGTTCTTGTGACAAACCCAGTCAGAGTATGAGATTACTGGTGCAGATTTCTTGTGTTGTATAGCTGCAAATGTGAAAGCCTGACAAGAAATTCTCATGCTCCAAGAATGCAAACGATATTTATAAGGACACTTTGTAAATGTATATTGCAAAAAGTTTTATTTTCAAAGATTGAATTAAATGTCAGTCAGAAAAAAAGATGTTTAAAAGGTTAACAGTTTAAAAGTGTTTAAGAGGTAAAAAGTGCCAAGAATTGAATGAATTCATAAACCCTGGTAAAGAAACTGGGGGTTTCAGAGACTTGAAAGAATCTTGAAAAGGCTAGAATTCTTGTTTTTATAGCCTAATTTTAATTATAGTTTATAATTTTATTGATTTTGTCCCATATTTGTATGGTAATAAAGGATTTCTGGTGAAATGTTTAATACAAAATCACTCAGAGACTATCATTTTAGAGTTTGGTTCAGAAAAGCAGTGTTTTCTAAAGGTATGTAATGCCTGAGGGATGGTTTTATCAGCGAAGACTGAGATGATAAACAAGCTGCTTCTTGAATGGAGCTTTCTGTCCTCCTGAAAGGAGAGGCTATAGTGTGTCAACTCTATTAATCCTGTAACAGAAGTAATAAAAGAGTTTGCACAGCATAGACATGTCAGGGAACATCTTCCAGGAAAGCTCTGTGGAAGCATGACAAACCAAGGCGCTTATGCACCACATACAATGCTGAGTAAAGTCTGAAACTGTGTGTCAAGGCACTGGAGAAGAAATCTTAGAGTGAAGATAGTGAGAACAGAATAAAGGCATAAGCTTGAAATAGCATTGGTTTTTACTTTAGCAGGTGATCGCCTTCAATTTCCATGTGGAGACTATAAGGAAAAAAAGTTGTAGATTGAAGTACATGTTCCAGCTGCAGAAAATGAAGAATGAACAGAGCAGCACAGATCTCTACCAGTACAGAGACAGCACTCATTTGAGACGTCCCTTTAACGTCCTGAGAGGTTATGAATCTGGAAGCATTCCAAAGCTCATGAATTTAGAGAAATGTAACTGATTTGTTTTTTAATGATAGAACATAGCTAAAATGCAGAAACAATAATTGAAAAGAAGAATATGACTGTATGTAGAATTATACCTAGTTCAAGAAGACAGATGATTTTCATGTACTTGTTCAAATCCACATATGAAATTAGATTCATGAAAACACTTTTGATTTCTAAACTTCTACTAATGTAAATATCAAATTGTATCTCATTTTTCACCAAAGCAAGCTTTGCCTTACATGGTCTACTATAAAATTATATAATGCATGTAGGTTTTGATATAGAAGTCTTCAACATGGAAACAGTAATACGACAACAAAATCTATATAAATAAATACCATGAGTGAGCGAATTCTGAATACGCACAAGCATTTGCCAGCAGTCTGCCCTTGGCGTAGAGATACAGACATATTTACCACTTCTCTCACACCAGAAGAGCCATGTTCATGAGCAAGCTCTCAAAAGTGAAGTTTTTTTCTCTTTAGGAAAGTGCCGGTGAAGCACAGCAACTGAAGCAAGCTGCAAAAAAATGATCCATGACCAGCCACTTCTAAACTGCACAGGGCAGTGTACCTCCAAGAGTGCCCCATTGCATTGCCACGGCAGTTCTTTGGCAGAAAAAAAATAATCTCATTTTTCTTCACTTTTCCCCATCATCCTCCCGGCAAAGAGCTGGATTTTGGGGGGAGGAGGAGGATCCAGCACCACCCCCCCCCAGCCCTCTAAATGCTGCGTTGCCCCCCCCCCAACTCTGGGGGGTCAGTGCCTCACGATTGCGCCATCGCCGGCTGAGCTTCACAAAGGCACCTTTCCTGACGACTTCTAGTAAAATATTAGGAACTATTTAGAAGTACTTGTTTAATATGAAAGAACAAATAGCGAAGATGATGAAGGCAGGGATAAGCCTCAGGTCTGCAAGTGCTGCACTCGGCATTTACAAGCTTTTGATGATGGGGGGACATGCCCTAAGGATCTGAGTTTGATGGTCTACAGAAAATTGAAAAAGCCACAGAATCCTCACCACTGTGGTTTTCTGAATTATGTTATAGGACATAATCTGCTGCTTGATTATTTCATTTTTCCCAGTGGTAAGTATTCAACAGGAAAGAAACAGCTTGGTATCTGCTATCTGCTTTTTATAAGTGTTCATCTGATAACAACCTAGAATAACGCATGGGGCACTTTCAAAAGCAGCCAAAGGTATTTCACCAGCAAGCTTCCAAAGACATTATAAAGACTGAGTGAAAGAAGACTGATTGAAAAATCCCCAAAGTTTCCTGTTAAAGTTTATGGTGTTTTCTAGAAGTGATTTTGCTGGATTTTTTAAAACGGGATTTGATCTTGCTTATAGTGGGATCCCTCAGAGTTAAACAGACCCTAGCAGCATGCACACCTCAGGCTATTTACATTACAAGGGTCTTAAAGAAACTTTTTTATCTTTAGGAGATTTTGTCTAAACTTGTTTCCTGAGATACTAACTCTTGGAGATACACAGATTTGGCAAGCCACGCAGAACCATTAATCTGCCCAACAGCAAAACTGATCCGCTGTGGCAAAGATCCAGGTACAGTTTGAAACATGTTTCCACAACTACAAAACACCCTTTCTTTTCTAATCAGCTGAAGAATGAGTGGACATTCTCAGATCCAGCCTGTTAAGCTGCGTATCACAGCTAGATTTTCGAAGTTTCTTTCCTCCCGAGTACACATCTTTTCCTGGCAAAAAGGCTGTGCATTTCCCTGATGCTGCATTAAAGTCTCAACTGTAAAAGTCAGAAAATCCCTCAGTTTATTCCAACAACTGGCATGAGCCTCAGTTTATCTGAAATCACCCATCCTGAATTCGAAAGTCATTTTCTGTTGATAGGTACTGTCAAAACCTGTGCTAAAACCAACACTTCCTTACTATGTCGTTAGCAAACATACAATTTTTCTCCTTTATTTTAGTGGTTCCAAACTAGAGACCAGAGAAAGTTCCTCCCATCTTCACTTCATCCCTGCTTTTCTCCCTCCTCTCAAGCCCTGTTTCCTTAAACCATTATGCACCTCGGTACCAATTTATTGTCATACCATACCCCTATGTCTTCAGCTGCAACCTGTGGCTTCGATCTGAAGAATGGCACCTTATTGTGCAAGAATGGGGCTCTCTTTTCAAACTCCACACTATTGCCAAACTCTCCACACACACATTACCCCAGTGGCACACCCCAGCAGGCTAAACAAGCAGTTAATACTTCCTTAAAAATCTCCCAAATCTGGTTTGCCATAATTACGCAGTATTGAACAGAGCTGTAGCACTGAATTACTGCCTTTCAAATTTCACTAGCCAATTATTAGATTTGAAAGAGACTGGTATTTCAGACTCCCACTTTAAATGAAGGATTAATATGACTCTTCCACGTGCTTCTTAAAACTTATTTTCAAGAATTCTTTTATTTCATAGTGCATGTTGGTATTAAACACAGTTATTGCTATCTGAACAGTTTAATCTTAAACCCAATTTGTTTGTTTTCCAAAAGTAGCAGGAACTCAGTCCTCCCACACTTCTTATAATTGAATGATTTCAATCTTGTATTACCTTTCTTGACTATTTCCCAAGCATTAGTGAATTAACTATGCCCACTTTTCCTTGTACATTGATGGATGCTAATTGTTCCTCAAGCAATGCTATGATTATATGCTTTTTGTACTAAAAATTCAGACTCCAAAATCTAAATATTAATTCCAAGCAAAGAACAGGAATAAGAACGTATCAAATTAAATTCCAAATTTTTAACTTGAAAAAATATGGATATAAAAGAAGAAATAATGGTGAGATGAACTGATGATTGTACATCTTTCAATGAAAGGAGAATTTTACATAAAATTCATTTTTAGAAAAAGTTGATTTTCTTAAAATAACCATGATGACTGCTGTAAATGGGTAAGTGGGTGTGGTTGAACTCACTTTGTTTTTCCATTCTTAAATGTCAGAGAGGTAAACTCCAAGTTTCAGAACTATAGCCTGAAGGAAAAACACTCATCTGATTCATGCCTTTTGTTAATTAAAAAAGAAAACTCAAGCCCTAGCCCCTGAGATGTACGGCCAGCTCTCTTTGTGAGGAATGTCATCATAATTGGCCTCACCTCTAGGGAGGAGAATTTCTGGAGGGAGGGCCACAGGTTGGGTTTGCTCCTAGCACCCTGTCTTCAGGATATAAAAGAAGCACAAGGGCAGTGAAGGCACATACTTTCCTCTTCTGCACCAAGCCGAATAACTGACCTTAGCACCTTTTTGTGCTGCAGCTATGGCTTCTTCCTTAGTGCAGAGCTCTTATTCTACCTATGGTGGTGGCTTTGGGGGTGCTGGAAGCGGCAGCTCTCGCCTTTCCTCAGTCCGAACAGGAGGAACCTGCCGAGCTCCAAGCATACATGGAGGATCTGGTGGCAGGGGTGTCTCCATCTCTTCAGCTAGGTATGTCTCCTCTGTAGGAGGCGGATATGGCGGTGGCTTGTGTTCTAGTTTTGGTAGTGGTTATGGAGGAGGCTACGGTGGCTTTGGTGGTGGCGCAGCCTGTGGCTTTGGTGGAGGACCTGGCTTTGGTGGAGGAGCTGGCTTTGGTGGAGGAGCTGGCTTTGGTGGAGGTTTTGAATTTGGTAGTGGCGTTGGTGGTGGTGATGGCCTTCTCTCTGGAAATGAAAAGATAACTATGCAGAATCTGAATGACCGCCTGGCTTCGTACCTGGACAAGGTACGAGCACTGGAAGAGGCAAATTCGGATTTAGAAGTTAAAATCCGAGACTGGTATCAGAAGCAAGCTCCCACCAGCCCAGCCCGGGACTACAGTAATTATTACAAGATAACTGAAGATCTCCGAGACAAGGTATGACATTCATATGTGGAGTTCTAAGAATGCATTAGAATCATGGAACTGCATATTCCACTTCTTTAAAATAAATGAAACTAATTAAAAAATAAATATTGACTTCCCCAAACCCAAATATATTGTGGTTCTGAGCATTCTAGCAGAAAAGAGTAGATTTTTCTTAATTCAAAAAGCAAATATGTTATCCTGAAAATGTGACCTTTGTTGAAATTACGATTGCACTAAAAGTTAGCAAAACATGGCAAAGTGTGTTTAGAATTACCAATATATTTATTCAGTAATCAAATAGTAAAGACTGTGACAGGTAGGCCTCAAAGTCTGAAAAAATAGATCTCCAAGCTAAAAATAAGATTGGGTGTTGTACAAAGGTATTTTCTAATTATGTTTCTAATTTGTTTTTGCACAAGGTATCTCAGCTCTCTGGTTTGCATATGGAGTGTGGAAAAGAGCTTAGCATTTTTGGGTTTTCTCCATAAAAGCTGTAAGAATTACAGTGTGACCAAAGGGCAACATAACAAATTGAAATGGCTATTGCAATCTAAAACATGTGTTTAGCCAGTGACATCACAACAGAGGTGCCTTTTTTCCTATGTGCCTTGACAGTTTACAGCCTCAATAACTACCTACAACGTACTCAGGATCGTGATATTTCCCCATTATTCACAGGAACCTTTTTCTGTGTTTCTTAATTGCCAGATCCTTGCAGCTGCTATTGACAATTCCAGAGTCATTTTGGAGATTGACAATGCCAGGCTGGCTGCAGATGACTTCAGACTGAAGTAAGTTTACCTGGAGCACATTCGTCTTCTCTCTCCTTTCTCTCTCTCTCTCTCTCTCTCTCTCAAAACAGTTTCCTTAAGTTTAGTATTGCTTTTTATCTAGAAAATAAAGTTCTTCAGTCACTGAAGGACACATTTCAAAATTATGGATAGGTATTTTTCCTGGATAATTTCTGATTAAAAAAACCCTGGCAAACAGAATTGGTATGACGAAGGGTGAATTTGGAATATAAAACTGATAGAACACATTATAGATCACTGAGCTGTTTTCATAATAAATTATAGTTCATGTCTTGGTTTTTTTGAGTGATGCTCTTAACTATTTTTACTAGCCTAAATCAGAGGGGAAAATAATACAGAAATAGGTTGGGATTTTGACTTAAAAGGAACAGAATGGTGTGACAAGATCACTGTTCGGTCGCAGTAGTTCCCTCTCACTGAGTCTGAAATTCAGAAAAGAAAGACAAAGAGTAATTTTGGGCTTATCCAGCTCATGGACTCAGCAGTACAGCAGACACTGCTGAAAAGATGACAGAGATACTTGCACAACTGATTTCTCTTGCAGTGGTGTACCTGTAGTGTATATTTCCTCCTTTAGTGCCCTAGGCAGAACTGGGCAATCAGTGCGTTTCTTCACACTGAATTTGAGAGGACACTGCAAATGGACTGTCCTGTGTGACAACTTTTCTATCGATGCTGATAATCATTATTAGGTTCTGGAAAGTGAAATGTCATGTACTCCTCAAGAATAAAGTCAGATGGCAATGCATGTACTTACTTTCATATGTGATAGTAGGATGTTGGAAAAAAACACCTTTACTCCCTTTACACTTCTTTTTAATATATATGTTTTCATTTACAGTCCACCATTCCTCCTACATTCAATATAAAATTTCATAGTTTTATAACTCTACTGAATACAAACTCGTACATATTCCAGCGCTTGTTTCTTCTTTAAACTGCAGATATGAGAATGAGTTATTCCTGCGCCAGAGCGTAGAGTCCGACATCAACGGCCTGCGCAGAGTCCTGGATGAGCTGACTCTGTCCAGAGCTGACCTGGAGATGCAGATTGAAACACTGAAGGAGGAGCTGGCTTATCTGAAGAAGAACCATGAGGAGGTGAGAGTCCATAACAGAGCAGAGAGGAAATTACTTCCCTTTCAAATTTATGCCCCTCGGGCAGGGAGGGGGAAATCCAAACAAAAAGAACAGAATGACAACATTACAGCTTAATAAGAAGACAACTGTAATATTAAGAGAATCCAAAGTGTGTCCTGAGAAGCATTTCTCTGATTCCAAACTGCTCAGACCTATTAGTTTCCGTCTGACATTCATCAGACCTAACAGGTCACTGAGATAGTTAAGCTGAGTAAAAGGAAGATACACGTAAGTTACATGTAAGTATGTGCGTGTGAGTATACAGAGAGTAGAAAAGCATGTATGATGAGAGATAAAATTTGATAAACGTTTTTATGTGGGTTGTCCCTATGATACTTGATAATTGAAGTACTGCGTGCCTCTGCAGGGATTGCTGATGGCAGAAAGTATATGAGAAAAGAGAGCCTAATCTTTTGCTTGTCCTCTGCCCATGCAGGAAATGAAAGAGTATTCAAATCAACTAAGTGGAACAGTCAATGTGGAAGTGGATGCAGCTCCTGGCATCGACCTGACCAGAATTCTGTCCGAGATGAGGGAACAGTATGAAGCTCTGGCTGAGAAGAACCGTAAAGATGCCGAGGCCTGGTTCTTCACTCAGGTATAGCTACGCCAATAAACAGCAAACTGATGCATTGCCTCATTTTATACGATATGTATGTGATTTTACAGTGTTTTTTTTTCCGCGAAGTAGCTACCCACACACAACAGATACAGACCAGCAAATCGGAGATCACAGAACTGAGACGTACACTCCAGAGCCTGGAGATTGAGCTCCAGTCGCAGCTCAGCATGGTATGGAGCTGTCCCATGCACTTCACGGGTCATTACTAGTACACGCTCCCCTTCCTCTCTCTCTGCCTTGCCTCTCCTTAGACTCCCCTCTGCGGGCCACACCTGCACGCTAACCTGTTCTGATGTTATTCCACTTTAGAAAGCTGGACTGGAAGCCAACTTACGAGATACAGAAGGACGATACTGTGCACAGCTGGCACAGATTCAGGCTCTCATCACCAGCGTGGAGGAGCAGTTGAGTGAACTTCGATGCGACATGGAGCGTCAGAACCAGGAGTACAGAATGCTCATGGACATCAAAAGTCGCCTGGAGCAGGAAATCGCCACATACCGCCAGTTGCTGGAGGGCCAGGACTCTCAGTACGTTACTATATACAAATCCTATGATGATTAGATAAGGTTAATAACATGACACATTGTAAAGCAGTAATTTGTGGTTGCTAAACTCACTCCAGATTACTAAATTACATTCACTGCACACGCAGCCTTTTGAGTACTGGCAAAACAGATGCCCAGCAAAGTCCCGGGTGTTGCTATAACTCAAACCAGATCTCCAGACAAATTGTGCTGATGATTTGAAAATATAAATGCAACCATTTTGGACACAATGAATTATAGCAGGCACCAGGCAACATATGTATGTCTTAAGCCTCTTGTTGCACAGGAATAATAACCTCTAAAAACCTGTTCTCAGTATTTCTTTAGCTCTTGGTTTTCTACACTTGTGCACAGAGATGAAAATATTCATCATCATACACCAGTACTCTCAACTAGAAAAGAACTTCATACAGACCATGGCTTACTTTAGTAAAATCTGCCTTTTAATGTCCATATCTCATATCTGATCTATAGATGGATTTTTTTTTAATTTCTGAGGAAGAATGAGGTGTTTATATTTAGATGATGACATTTTGAGAAGAGAAGTATATAGAGACATATCAGGACCAAGAACTGGTGTGACTGCTGTTCATATTTCCTATCATCAAGCACATAGGAGTGGCCTTCAGAGCAGGAAGCACCTTAACAATAATACTGGTGACAACACACCTCAGAAACAACCCAGTGAAAGAAGCAGTGTGAAATCATGGCCATTCACACACAGTGGTTCCTAAATGGATCAATGGTTTCGGTGGTCATGGTCAGTGATGGTTATTAATCAAACATTTCTTTTTTTCTACAGGATGTCAGGAGTGAACCCTAAGGATGGTAAGAAAATTTTTCATTTAAAGAGGGGCTGAAATGAATTGACAAAATAGGATTAAATAAACCTATCTTTTTTGCTCAGGATTTCTTCTTACTAACACAGATTACATTCTCTCCACAATGACCACATTCTTTATCATTTAGAGACAAAAATATAATACTTTATCTTATGTGCACTTTTGAAACCAGTAGCTTGCCAAAATGATTGCACATACTCCTCATGGGATTCTGAAATACAGACATCTTCCAAAGATTCCTCAGTTCCTCTGCTGGTTCACACAACATACAAGATACATCCAAATCTGACATGTGATGTGCACTGTTAAGATTTACTGGATGTGGACCAGCAGGGAGAGAAGATGCAAAGGCAGTTCTCCCTTTGATATGTGAAAAAACCCCATCGCACAGCTCTCAGTGTG